TGTTGAACGAGTTTTGTGTTAACGAATGTTTGTCTATTTTTGCTCGATAGATAACAGAAGGGTTGTTCTTTTCGTAATTTCTCATTACTATCATTATTGTGTTCAACTTCTGATACTCTCTTTCATGAATTACATATTATTACAATTCACTTCTCTGCAAATCGCTATCCTTTTTATCTACGTTTATATTCAATGCAGAGAAGGAAATGAATGGAATATCCTTGAGTAAGTGGGGAGTAGTCTTCGATATGTTGTAAATCTGCTGCGATCACTAGTATTTAAATTAATCCAGAAACATTGCGATTAGCTCGTTTGTTCTGATTTCCGGCCAGTTTCCAGTTCTATTGGAGCTTGTTAATCGTGTACATCAAGCGGTTCTGCGATGCTCCAGTTTTCGCCAGTTGGTCCTAAGAACTAGGCTGCTCTTTCACGGCTGCATTATCTTCTTTTTCTACGTACTTTCTTAACGCTCCACTAAGGCTGATGAAGAGCTGCAGGATTGGAAACTCGCGAAAGGGGAAAGGTATTCAATGATCGGGCGTGTTTATACTCAAAGTTCCAGGAGTGTCGGGGTTTCATGAAAATGGCAAAGATTTTATTGTCGAGATACTGTATTAGTAAGCGGTGAATAGTAGAACGGACGTATTAGATACATACTAACGTGAGTGTTATGGTCTCAGGACTTCTGTCAACCGTGAGGCTTGGCGGTTCAGCGTTTTGTAGTGATGTCTGGGAGCTCCCACAAGTGCACACTACACAGTATCCTCTTTTCCTCTTTCTTTATCTCCGGATCTGTTCCAGTTAGGGGGCATCATGATGCAGTTTTCCAGAAAGCTAAGGTAACTCCGAGCCAGGGGAGTGTAGCCAGTCTAGGGGGTGGGGGTGAGGGCAGTCACTTGACATGCGTGAAAAGCTGGAATGTTCGAGTTCACACTAGTTCGCCGAGAAACTGCATCATGATGCCCCCTAACTGGAATAGACCCTTATCTCCTTCAAAAGCTTACAAGGAGGTCGTTCAGGGTGTGCCAAGCTTTTTCAAAATGGTTTCTTGCATGACATTGGGGCACATATGGGGACCACAGAAGCATGGTTCATTTTTCCTGAACGGCCTCTGAATACCAGAAAAGGGGTCCCTAGTTCGATTCCTCGTGGTGACAAATTTTTGCATTTCGAGTTGACGTTTCCAAAATTCGCGCAAAATGGAGTTAGCATGAATAATTAGTACCATATTCATGATTAGGACCGTCAGTAACCCTTACAAATAGACTTTGATTGAAAAACTGGTGAAAAAGGTGTGACTAGGGACCCCCTTTTCTGGTATTCAGAGAGCCGTTCAGGAAAAATTAACCATGGTTCTGTGGTTCCCGCATGTACCCCTATATCATGCAAAGACCGTTTTGAAAAAGCTTGGCACATCCTGAACGGCCTCCCTTGTTAGTCCCAATCAGACACAAAGTGTGTGCTTTTCCAGCTACGCTCTCATTCTTTGGTTGACAGAAGCCTTGTAACCGAGGCTATCACTCTTAATTTTCCAAGAATGTGGCAGTAGATGCTCATTTAATTTGCGTCGTGGTACCTGTTCCCATTCTACCTTTCTCCTTTTTCCCATGTGCTGTTTCTGAGCATAGCTTATACGCTTAATAGATAGAGTCTACCGAACGTAAATACTTGACATTTTCTCTGGACTCTGCTCTCCTCTAAATACTGAATGTGACTTTTAGCTGCTTCATGTGCCTTATCCTAGTTTGTTTGAGTAAGCTGCACTGACACGGGATGTTTTTGAATGCCTAGATGGTGCTTTTTCTATAGTAGAATATGGACGCTCACTCATGTTTAACGACTGTAACCTTACCTTCTCTAAATTGGAGTTGAAACCGCCGAAAAAAAATCTAGGATCAAGTAGAAAGATAATGCGCCGATGCATGATTTCTGGATTGCTATGGTCGCCTGTTCACAAGTGCATGTGGAGCGGCTCGATGAGCATTCCATTCATTCCAGCAGGATGTAATGAGCTGTAAACTCGTAGTGGAGCCTGCTGCTTGCTTGCTTGATATTTCTATCTGGTTGTTGAATTTTTTCAGTTCATTAACGCGTTGACGACATCGCGCGTTTTGGCTTTTTTGACCGCGTGGGACGAGAGCGCGTTTTGCGAGCGCCGCCGCCTCACATTGAATTCGTGGATTTTAAGCTGTAAATTTGCAAAGCACGAATGCGAAAAAATGTTTTCGATGATACTCGATGGGTTAAACTTATCGGAAGCTGCAGTTGTAGTACAATTGTAAAAGTTCGGTCGAATTTGACGTGTTATGGCATTGAAAAGGCAAGTTTCACTTACTTTTGCTTTAGTGATTTCAAAATTATTTTGGACGTGGTTGTTTCGGTAAAAACACATATCTTGCCACACGAGTAGCTTTGTACTCACTTCTAATATTCTTTTTTATCTACATGTTCATGTTAATGAAAGAAAACAAGGAGTGGACTGAACAGACATAGGAAACCTCTGCCAAACTAAAGAATATTTGGCCATTCTGTAAGCGACGTTTTGGTTATGTTGATGTATGGCCTATAAAATGAACACAAAAACTTGGGAAGAAATCGGGCATGTGCGCAAAAAATAAATGTAATGGGTGTGGCATACATAGTTGCCACAATGTCCGATGAGGTGCAAAAATGGCGGCATACATAGTTGCCGCGCTGTCGTCAAGGCTGTTAATCTAGCTTCAAATGAACTGATTTTTTCTGATGTCGTTAGATTATGCCTTGAATTCGAGTTCTGGGTCAGCTTCATAAACGATCTTTCTCAAATCGATCACTGAATATTACTCGGCCGTCTAACCTTCGTTGTCTTGCTGTACTTTTCGATCATAATTCTCTTTTTAGGGTGCTGTCATATGTAATATGGCTGACGGCCCACGAATAAGCCCAGAACATGTTGCCGTATTGCAGCCGGCGGCTACTGAAGTCCTTCAAACTTGTTCTGGTGCTGACTATCTTTGTCTCGTCTGTACTCGTTTACAAGGTCTCATTCCGGCCTGATATTGCCGTTCAGCGCTACCCTCCTCAACGTTTATCTCATTATGAATGCCCTTGTAACACATCTGTACATAGTCAAGCTGGAAACTCACCATATGCTAACCAAAATCTAACGGAAAATCGTGCACTATTGCTCTTGGAGAGCGCCTACTCACGCCATGGTCGTCAGCTTCAGCAGATTCTCAGCGCTTCGAAATTCCCATTTAAAGCGGAGACATTCGCGAAGAATCTGCCTTTGCTCACCACAGCCACACATGGTCGTTATTCTATTATCATAATTGAAAATTACTACAAATATCTTAACATGGCGAAATGGAATCGTCAACTATTGGACAAGTATTGCGCGGATTATAACGTTCCATTGATTTCCTTTCTGCCGACGAAGCCAAATAGCACATACCAAAAGGTGAAGATCAAAGGCTCTCAGCTGCACTTTTGGCAAAATCAGGAAGTTGTGTCATTGAAAGTGGTGGAATCAGATATTCATCGAATCTCTAGAATTGGCGCAGAGAGAACAGATATCAACACTCCGGAATGGGTCCTCTTCGAGGAGTCATCGTCTTATACCACCGTAAGTGCTTTTTTTATTTTCTGCATAGGCAAATGTGTCTTATGCTCTACTTTTTTCCTTTTTAGTGATGCAACTTTTAACGGTAATATTCACAATTACAGGTGCTCGCAGCAAGGGATGCTCTCGGTAGACCTAGAGCGGCTGTGATTCACGATACTGGAAAAGTGGATAATGTTCAACGAGTTCTTTTCGGTCACAACCTTACTGATTGGACAATAAAGGTATTTCTCTTTTATTATAATGTATAGTGTAGTGATTGGCCGATGTCAGACTTTGCGATTGGAGCGATTTTGCACCAATTGCAGGAGCGACGGATCGCTTGCAGGAGCGACGGATCGCTTGAGCGATGCGAGCGACGGGAGATTTACCCGCCGAATACCGATACACACGGCGCCGCTCGGGTAAATCTCCCGTCGCTCGCATCGCTGAGCGACGTCGCTCCTGTCTTACTGCCGTTTTTTTAACACATTGTGTGATCTTCACAGAAGGCGTTTACGATCACGAATGGTACTGTTAACAGTCTCTTGGCCTCATTTGTGATATGTCTTGGGCGGAAGGACATGAGTTGCTCAAGGCGCTTTCATAGTCGGTCGTCCGATCGTAACGATGGCACAGTATTAGATACGTATCGATCGTCCGATCGGACGAGATACAATGGTGCTGTGCAATCGTACGACCGTCTATGAAACCCTCTTAAGGGTTCTTCTGCATCACTTGCAGCAAGATGCTTTTTTGAGTACTTCTTTGCTGTTATTGAAATAATTTTCAGATGACATTTCTTGACGTTTTGTGGTATACAACAGGAGGGCATATTGGGTGGAGTATGGACCGTTACGTACAGATCGATATCGACGACATATTCGTCGGAGCTCGTGGGACACGCATGATAGAGAGTGATGTAAGGTGAGGATTTGTTTTTCTTCTTGAAATTGTTCTCCATCAAGTTACTTTTTGGCTTGAAAACCTTTTCCCTCCCTTTAACAGAGTTGCCGGTTTTGGTTCCTTCAAGGTGATGAATCCTCGGGATGTTACTAATGTATTCATCTTTTTCTTTCAGGGCATTGCTCGACAGCCAGGAACATCTTCGTAAGTACATTTCGAACTTCACTTATATGCTTGGATTTTCTGGTAGTTATTTTCGTAACGGAGATGATAACGAGGACCGTGGTGATGAATTGCTTGTTGGTAAGTTTGTTCGATGTCTCATGGTGGCTTATCAAGGGTCAGCCCGTATTGTTATATACAAGTCAGTATTTTCAGAGTTGGCGCAGAATTTTATTTGGTTTCCTCACATGTGGCGCCACAATCATGCTCACGAGCATAATCTGACGTACTTGGAAGCAACTATGACTCAAAATTTGATGTTCGCTCAGGTATGATTTTTTTTGAAATCTTTATACATGCTATTTGACTCTTGCTATGGCCTGACATAAGGTCTAAGTGAACTCGACAAGTGAAATTTTAGAATATGCGTCTTCCAGTGAAATACCCTTATGCTATAGCACCGCAACACGATGGTGTGTACCCTGTACACTTAGAACTCTACAAAGCCTGGAAGCGGGTGAGTCTAGCGGAAGAGTAAACTTTCGAATCTCGGTTTAATATTCCAGTATTTCAGATATGGAAGTTAGAGGTTACAGCTACCGAGGAGTACCCTCACTTCAAACCTGCTTTGGGTAGACAAGGATTTATCCACATGAATATCTCGGTTAGTGTTTCATATTGGAATTTCTTCTTCAGGGAATGAACCAATATGCAGAAGGGGGATGATTTTATCGGCGAATACACAAACCAATTTGAAAAAGTTCGTTAAAGCAGATGTAGTAGTCGGAAGAGTCTAATCCAATGAAGTGGTGCGGGGGAGAGGGGGGGGGGGGGCGAATGTTATGACTGTTGCTGTCAACTACAGAAGCTCCCATATCCTATTGCAAGGAAATCCCCGGCACGCATGAACTATTTCGCTTTTATACCCACCCCAGTTTTCCTTTGCGAAAAAAGTGGATTAATTTGGACGATGTGAATTGTCGCACCACATGCCTCCCTCACCACCCTTACTGCCTCTCCACCGGTGCCGGTTGGAGGCATTAACACATCATTAGCACAGTTTGATAATCTCGTGTTTGCTACATTTCTCAATTATAGGTTCTCCCACGTCAAACCTGCGGTCTTTACACACATACTCAGTTTTTCCACAATTATCCAGGCGGCTTCTCAAAGCTTACGAGTTTGATTTATGGTGGAGAGCTTTTCTTCACGATACTTATGAATCCGGTGGGTTTGGCAGGAGAGAAGTAGTTTGCTAAAAAGATCGAAATTTCCTTCTTCTGTTAGGAACAAGCTTACTTCCAGATATCAATATTTATGACACATCAACAGAACTTTGCGCATGATCGATTAGCATTGTTCACGTTCGATAATCTCGCACGCTTTGTCAGCTGCTGGACAAATATTCAGCTGCGTTGGCAGAGCCCAATTGAGTCTGCACGGATGTATTTCTCTTTAATGCCTCAGGAAACTGTACCTATATGGAGTGTGAGTATCACTTAAATTTGGTTTAAATGATGGAAAAAATATGGATTGGATTTGTGTGTAACCCTAACTGATCGTCTGTAGGTCGCTTCCGTGCGAGTTATTTTTGGATTCCCCTAAAAATGTACATGGGTTAAGAACAAGCAAAAGAGATGACTGGACTCGCCTCAAATGAGTTTTTCTTCCTTGCGGTTGATTCTTTTCTCGGTAGTTCGTTGGCGTACGACGTGACCCGCTTGTCGTTCACTTTGAAGTTGCGAAATTCGCCCAGTTTTCGTCATCCCTCTTTTGCGAAAGGTGTTCCTCCACGCAGCTATTGTTGCAATTTGCATATGAGTTTTATATGCATGTTTTGATAAGTGTCACTACACCAGTAGAAGTTAGTTTTGGAACTTTCTAGAATCCTTGTGAAGACCCACGACACAAAGCTATTTTACCACCATCGTTGAACTGTTCAAACTTTACGCTTCCGACAACTCTCATTGTCGGTCCTCAGAAAACCGGTAAGTCTGAATTGTTGAGGAGGCTTTGCCAAAGCTTTTATGGGTTGACCACGTTACTTTGGTTTTGTGTGGTAAGAAGGTCTTTGTGTTGGCCTTCCACTTTTTACGATTGTGTTGGATTGTTCTTTGCGTGATTGATAGTTGAGCACTCCTCTATTGTGACATTTATTTTTACAGTTCTTTAGAGAAGTTCTTGGTGCTCATCCTTAGCCATTTAGATTTCCTTCGAAAACGTTTGGGATTCTCTCTTCTAGATACGTGCATTGGCCTAACGGTTTTCTTCTGTATATGTGTACTTTAATGTCCTTTTGCGCACACTGTTTTTTGCCACAATTTCTTTGATCTTTTTTCTTCTTCCTTCTCAACGCATTTTGAGTCACACCTGTACTTTCAAACTAGTGATCTCCGCACATCCTCTGTCATTCGTAGAGCGTAGAGGTTGTAGTCGAAGGAAGCATTTAAAAAGCTTCTTATCTTAGGCACTACGGCTCTTGCAACGTTTTTGTCAATGCATCCCAACGTATCAACAAATGAGCCGATTCCGGAGTCTTTCGAAGAGCTCCAGTTTTTTGGTGGTGCGAATTATCACAAAGGAATAGAATGGTGAGAAATAGTTGGACGTAGCACTTTATTTTTTTATGACACGTAAGAATATCTTTCGGATTAGGTATTCGAAGAGGTTCAACACTGCTCACGTCGTATTTGATAAGAGTGCAACATATTTTGATAATCCTTCCGCTGCAAAGCAAGCGTTTGCTCTTATTCCTAATGCAAAAATTGTTGTCATTTTATATGATCCCGCAAGAAGGAGCTTACTCGTGGTATCAAGTGAGTTTTCGGGTACTTCTATACGAAAATGATTCAAAGTTCTCTTCTTTAGCATATGTTGGCTCACAATGACACAACGGTTGCTGCTGCAGGCAGTATGGAAAAAGTGCTGGATGCTTCAACTCAACAGTTGAGAAAAGTGAGGCAGCGATGTCTGTCAGGAGGACGGTCAGTTATCCTATTATAATGTCATATTTTTGCCTGGAAGCACTACTAGTTGCGCAACCGTGAATGACTTCCTTCTCATTAATGTTTTGCAGTTATACACATCATCTTGATCGATGGTTGGAACTTTACCCTCTGTCAAATCTGATCCTCATTGATGGTGAAAGGTTACGCGAAGAACCAGCCACGGTTAGTTGTGGATCTCTTTTATTATTCGTAGACATATGAAGATGAATCTGCA